TCCCCATATAAATAGTTTCTTCCCCTCTTCTATTTCATTCTCTTTCTTTTCTCTCTTACTTTTTTTTCCTTTTCCCAACTTCATTTTTGCACTCCTTTTCTTTTCTTTTTCTCTTTTTTCTTTTTCTCTTCTTTCTTCCTTATCCCCTAATTCTCTTTGCTCTGGTGGTCACCTTTATTTGGGGTTATTAGTATCGTGAATAAGAGATCAACCGAAGAACTTGTATGCATGCATATAAGCATAACCAATGGAGGCTGGGGATTGTCAAGGGGGGTAAAAAGGAGACATATGTAATACTCTTTGTAATACTTTAAGCAATAAAAAAAAGAAAAAAAGAAAAAGAAAAAAAAGAAAGATGGAGTGGAAGGCACGTAATAACAGACCTCATTTGTATAGCAGCCTTAGACTTCTTTGACCTTTAGAGTCTGAGTTAAGGTCCTTCTAAACTCCTAAGAATGGTGTTTACCCTTATCTTATCACCCAGTATCCTGTGTTGTAAGTCCTTCTCTTTGTTTTCTCCTCTAGATAAGGCCCCTGCTTATTATAATATCTGGTATGAGGTAGATGCTCAAAAACATTTGCCGAGTGGAAGAATGGAAGAAAGAAGAACAAAGCCATCCCAATAACAGTGTGTTGGATAAGATTTTAGAATCAGATTTATAATATTTTCTTACCTTGACTGCGTAACTATTAAGTGGATCTTTTGCATATGAAGCTGTGTAGTAAACTGCATCACCTGCCTCACAACATGGCTTGTCATTGGTTAGCCTGAAGTCTGACCAGCTGTCCATCCCAAAACGGAGTTTGTCTTTCTGCCCAGCCATAAAGAGGTCTTCACATTTAATAGCCAATTTCTTTAAGGCATCTGTATGAAGGCTTCGGATTTTTCCCACAACTTCTTCCCGATTCTCAAGTCCTCGATAAAGTGCATGTCTCTGTGGCTTCTGGATGCCTTGGCCCTGTCTCCAAGAGGGACCACGTTGACTGGACAGGGACTCCATACTGTTGGAAAATCTATCCTTAATATTTAGAGTGGTTAAACTGGAGATGCTGTTTGCTGCTGGTCGCTCCTTGTGTAAAGGTCTCTCTAAGGAGTCATAAGACTCAGTGTCCAGTCCCTTGAGTTCATAACTGATGGAAGAGCCAGCACTGCTGGCATCCCAGTTGGGATCGATATCATAGGTGGGATTAGCCATGACACAAAGACTAGTTTCCATGGATTTTTGGAGGTCTTTGGAGATTGGCTCTGTGTTGGCTCTTAAGATCATTTTCTTTGGCAGTGGGGGTGGTTCAGCTTGGGAGGCATTAGGTGCTTCTTGGTCTGTTTTCTCACCAAAGGTTATGGCATCATCCAAAGCCCCCTTAGGCTGCCGTGGATGCTTGGGAGGTATCATAGCTGCTCTAGATTGCCCTGCATTGTTTTAAAACAAACAAAGAAAAAAGAATAAGTAAAGTTTTCATTACTGTTACATAATTGAAACTTAAGCAAAAAGAAGTAAGGTGGCCATAAGAATGTAAGAAGTCAATGCCTTAATTCAAAATAATAGAAGAAAACAACCAAATGAACAACTAGTTAAATATTAAAGGTAGAGCTTAATACTTGGTGGGAGCAATAAATGTGAAAATGTCTCAGTATTTCTGTGCCAGAGGAACAGGGTGATGGGCTTTGTTTTAAAAAAGGAATCCAGATTCTCCACTCTTGACCCCAAGAGTGCTGTATTTACCACACTAGGATACTAAGGAGTCACAGAAACTGAAATAATTGCGTTGTGGAAGAATAGAGATAATAGCATTTATGAGTAAAAAAATACTGGGGAGCATTATTAAAAACAATTGAAACTATCAATGAGACCACTAAACTGGTCCTCAGGAGATACTATTCTATACTTTTAACTTTGTCCCAAAGTTATCTTATATTCTGTACAACACTTGCCATTTTCAATCTAACACACATGAATACGATTTCATAAACTACGTTCTTTTATTTCACTACAGTGATGGATTCTGGCACTGCTTAAACTGGTCTATGTATAAGATCCAGTGATTGTGGTATATATAAGCAATTAATAGCTGTTCCAAATATCATTCACACACTCATGTAATTCTGTTTTATTGGGGAGGGGGCACATAAACTGATTTGAGAGATGCTAGTTCTGAACATCTCTGACAAGTCCTAGTTACAGAACCAATCATTTCTGATTCCTTTCCAGTATTTATGCTTAGAAGAAGATAAAACAGACATGTATGTGATCAATGACATCGTCGGGGCTTATTGTATATGGGATAGGGAGCATTATCTTTTTTTTTTAAGACAGAGAAATATACCATGAAACTTTTATTCAAAGCTATTAAAATTAGTAATGTTACTGATGCCTCAACTTAATATCTCACAGAGCATAGTGCTCTATTACAGGTTGAATTATGTCCCTTCTCCCAAAATATGTTGAAATCCCAATCCCTGGTACCTGTGAATGTAACCTTATTTGGAAATAGGGTACTTTTAGAGGTGATGAAATTAAGATGAAGTCATTAGGGTGGGCCCCAATCCAATATGACTGGTATCCTTATAAGAGGCAAAACGATACATGAAAAGAGATACACAGGGAGAACACCAGTAATGACAGAAGCAGAAATTGAGTAATGCATTTGCAAGCCAAGAACTCCAAAGATTGATGGCTACCACAAGATACTAGGAAGAGATAAAGAAGTATTCTACCCAGAGTCCTAGCGGGAGCATGGCCTTGAAAGCACCTTGATTTCAGGCCCTTAGCTCCAGAACTGTGGGAGAATAAATTCCTCTTGTTTCAGGTGACCCAGTTTGTGGTACTTTGTTACAGCAGTCCTAGGGAACTAATACATGTTCTTACTGATGATCAGACAGAATAGAAGGCACTGATGGTCCTGAGGATGATAATGACCTAAAATGGTGGTTTGTTTAATTAAAAATATGTCCTTGTAGCAATGCCAAGGGTAAGCACCAATATAAACTGTGATTGTAATAACAATATATTTCACTTCCCATGCATGCAACTCTGCTCAAGAACATCTAATAGTTTATACAAACTATGATAATATATAGGGTTGGGTCAAAAAAAGGTTTACAGTTATGGGTATACAGAACAGTTTATTCTTTTATTATTATTTATTAATTATTATATTATTTCCCATAAGAAAAACTGTAAACCTACCATTGCTCCACCCTGTATATAGCAACACTAAAAACCCCATTTCTCCACCAATGGTATGTAGCAATTTTTTTAAACAAGGATTACATTACATATAAACAAAAATATTTATACTAATAATAGAGGAATATGCAAATTGTCATCACAGTAATGACCGAACATCAGGCTGCTTGGGGCGACAAGGCCGGCAGTGGGGTTAGTGAAGGACGACCAAACAACTAAACAGCAGGCTGCGTGGGGCGACCAGGCCGGCAGTGGGGTAAGTGAGGGATGACCAAATGACTGAACAGCAGGCTGAGTGGGGTGACCAGGCTGATAGGGGGACAGTTGGGGGTGACCAGGCTGGCAGGGGGGGGGGCAGTTAGGGGCAATCAGGCAGGCAGGAAGGTGAGCAGTTAGGAGTCAGCAGTCCCGGATTGTGAGAGGGATGTGTGACTGCCAGTTTAGACCTAATTTCATGCACCGGGCACAAATTTCATGCACCGGGCCTCTAATGTATATATAGACAGCATGAGAATAAGAGGAAGAATATGACAATGCTAAACTCTAAGAGGGCCGGGATGTTTGTTTTATTCATTTTTGTATCTTTATGTTAGCAACAGGGCCAGGATATAATAGATGCTCAATAAATATTTTTTGAATGAGTAAGGAATAAATATTTAGGGTTGCAAGAGAAAAAGTGATAAATTTGTATAGGTACGTAGAACAAGGAAAGATTCTGAATTATCAATTTTAAAAATTCCCCCCTCAAAAAAGCCCAGGACCATAGGGCTTCAGTGATAAATTCGACCAAACATTTACTGGTAAAGAAATATTAAAACCAATCCTTGCCCTACCAGTTTGGCTCAGTAGATAGAGTGTCAGCCTGTGGACTAAAGGGTCTCGGGTTTGATTCCAGTGAAAGGCACATGCCTGGGTTGTGGGCTCGATCTCCAGTAGAGGGCGTGCAGAAGGCAGCCAATCAATGATTCTCTCTCATCATTGATGTTTCTCTCTCTCCCTCTCCCTTCCTCTCTGAAACCAATAAAAATATATTTCAAAACAAACAAACAAACAAAAAACAATCCTTCATAAACTCTTCCAAAAAATAGGAGGGAGGAACACTTCCTAATTTGGAATCTATGTGGTCAATATCACCTACATACCAAAAACCAGATAAAGACATCACAAGAAAACTAGAGACTAATATCCCTTATGTATATAGACCCAAAAATCCTCATGAAATACTAGCAAGCTGAATCCAGCAACATATAAAAAGGACAATCCAGGACCGATGGCTCCTAACTGTTCACCTGCTTGCCTGCCTGATTGCCCCAAACTGCCCCCGCTGCCAGCCTGATCACCCCTAACCGCTGCCCCCTGCCGGCCTGGATGCCCCCAACTGCCCCCCCTCCCCCAGGCTGGTTGCCCCACGCAGCCTGCTGTTCAGTCATTTGGTGGTCCCTCACTAAACCCCTGCTGGCCTGGTTGCCCCACGCAGCCTGCCATTCAGTCATTTGGTCGTTTCTCACTAACCCTCCTGCAGACCTTATCACCCCACGCAGCCTGCTGTTCGGTCATCGGTCTGGTTGTTTTGGTCCTGATGCCCCCTGGCTTTTAATATATTAGGATTACTAAAATTCTGAGGCATACCAAAAATATGTTTTTTGTAGATCTGAGAAAAAAACAGGTATAATTTTGATGGATTAAAAAATAATTATCTACCTTTTCTGCTCCAAAGTGAGTTTTTAAAAGACCAGGTGCCTATACTTGTATATAAGGATTTCTGGTACCAAGAATTAACCAATCAGACACAGTCTTATTATGTGACATGACCAATAAGATGCAACTATATTATATGATCTATACATTTATGGTTCAAGACAGGGCATTCACACTGGACAGCTATTACTATATTGGTTGTCATTTTTAAATTTGACAATCTAAGGCAGTGGTTCTCAACCTACCTAATGCCGTGACCCTTTAATACAGTCCCTCATGTTGTGGTGACCCCCAACCATAAAATTATTTTCGTTGCTACTTCATAACTGTAATTTTGCTACTGTTATGAATCGTAATGTAAATATTTGATATGCAGGATGTATTTTCATTGTTACAAATTGAACATAATTAAAGCATAGTGATTAATCACAAAAACAATATGTAATTATATATGTGTTTTCTGATGGTCTTAGGCGACCCCTGTGAAAGGGTCATTCAACCCCCAAAGGGGTTGCAACCCACAGGTTGAGAACCACTGATCTAAGGCAAAAGAGGTTAGTGACCCTGACTAAATCATCAGGTATTGCATGTTTTAAAATTCTTGTGGCACACTGGTTGAAAATCACAGCTATACACCATGACAGAGTTGTATTTATCCCAAAAATACAAGGTTGGTTTAACATCTGAAAATTGATGGAATATACCATGTAAACAGAATAAAAGGGAAAAAAACCCTCATATGATCACCTCAATAGAGGCAGAAAAAGCATTTGATAATATACAACATATTTTCATGATAGAGACACTGAACAAATTAGGAAAATAAGGGAACACCCTCAACCTGATAAAGTGCACCTACAGAAAACCAAGAGCTAATATCATACTTAACAGTAAAAAACTGAATATTTCCTGCTTAAAATCAGGAACAAGACAAGTATTTCCATTCTTGTCATTTCTGTTCTACACTGTACTGAAAACCTGGACAAAGAAACTAGGAAAGAAAAAAATTAAAATAGTGGAAGAGAAGAAAAATTATCTCTATTCACCAGCAACATAATCTTATATATATGAAAGCTAAGGAACCCACAAAAAACTGTTAGGACCAATATAGCAGAGTTTAGTAAGGTTACATAATATAAAATCAATATAAAAATTAATTATATTTCTATATACAAGCAAAGAGCAACATAAAATTAAGTTAAGAAAACAATTCCACTTCCAACATCATCAGAAAGAATAAAGTATTTAGGAATAAACTTAACAAAAGACGTGTGAGATTTACACACTGTAAACTATCAAGCATTGCAAAAAGTAAATTAAAGATCTAAAAAAATAAAAAGATGTATGTTAAGATAGAAATACTACCAAATTGTAAAAATTCAACGTAATTCCTATAATATCTCCACTGGCTTTCTTGCAGAAATTGACAGGATGATCCTAAAATTCACATGGAAATACAAGGGATCTAAAGTGGCACCCCCAATTTTTTTTTTTTTTTTTAAAGAGAACAGTGTTTTCGAACTCA